GGGAGCTGGATCAGAAATGGAGCATGTGGGGCTAGAATCAGCACCTTATGGGATGCTGGCACTGTAGTGGGAGGATTAGCCTGATGCACCATGGCACAGGGCCCCTCCTGGTCTAATTTTAAACCTGCCAAGGACCTACTCAAAGAGATCAGAAGGAAGGCACCCTTAGAGCGCCAAGACGCCCAGTGCAGGTGCACTTCATTCCCAAATCGCATGCATTAGTTGATGAGCATCCTGGTTAACAGTCACAGCCTTGCACCTGTGCTGGGGCAGACAGGCCTAAGTCTACCTGCACCTGCAGCCCTGCAGTCAACGCACAGATGGCCCTCAGCTTGGCCAGCGCCGGCAGAAGGGGGGGCCTTTCCTGTGTCCCGGATTTAGCTGGATCCCTCTGGAAGACCAAGGTTACCACTTCAAAGGGGTGGGCACTCGGCGGGTGGCCGCGGAGCTCCTGATTGCTTCCTTGTTGGAGCTCAGCCCTGCCTCTGCGCAGACTGCTTCAGGAAGGACAGCAGCTGACCTTTCTTTGAATAGACAAAACCACAGCAGTTCCTAGCGGGGCAACGGGCCTTCTATGGGGAGAGGTGGCATTTGGAGGAGCGGCAGGAATCCTGGGGACCCTCGATGTTTGCTCTCTACAGCCAGCTGTGGCCGTGGACAGACAAGGTCTGGATGTCCCCGGGCTGAAGATCCATGCTGACCAGGAGGTGGCTTTCTGCTCTGATGGACAGCAGGCTCAGGCCCCTTGGGGCACAACACAGAAGAAGAAGCGGTGCCAAGCATCTGAGCTTGCTTGGTCATAAGCTGTGTTAGCTCCAGGGTTCTGGTGCTGATGTGGCAATGAGGCACGTCTCACTGCCCTAGAGGGCAGAGATGAAGTGGACCCCTCCATAGTCAGCACCCCCAACACCACAGGATTGGTCATTAAACTCTGATTTTCATTTATTCATTTATTTTGAAAGAGGTATTTATTGGAAAAGTGCAAGAGCAGAGAAAGAGGGAGAGACAATGACAGAGAGATCTTCCACCCGCTGCTTCATTCCCCAGATGGCCACAGTGACTGGGGCTGGGCCGAGCCAGGAGCCTCAGACACCTCTAGGTGTCCCACATAGGCAGGGGGCCTAAGCACCTGAGCCATCTGCTGCTGCTTTCCCAGACTCATTATTGGGGAACTAGATGGGAAGTGTTGGAGCTGGGACCTAAATCAGCATTCCTATATGAGATGTAAGCAATGCAGATGGCAGCTTACCTCGCTATGCCACAAATGCCAGCCCCTGCCCTGGGATCAGCTACACCAGGCCATGGAAAGCTGTTCTTGGTTAAGATGCCAGTGTCTACCTTGGAGTGCCTGGGTGGGATCCCTGGCTCTGGGTCCTGATTCCAGCTCCCTGCTAACACGCATCCTCGGAGAGAAAGCAGACATGGCTCTGAGCGGTGCGTGGTACGTGCTGGCTCCAGGCGTCAGCCCCTACCACGTGGGCAGGCATCTGGGGAAACTTCTAGCAAAAGGGAACGTGCTCTCTCTGTTTCTCTCTCTCATCTCACTTTTTGCGCCTATCTCTCAAATAAATACATTTCAGAAAACTTTTCGAAGACAGATACTGTCCTTGTCAGACGTACAGCTCTCGCCCCGTAGGGCCCTATAGGGGCTCTCTTCACTTCTACAGCCAGTCTCTGTGCCTCATTCTTTCCAGAAGGTTCCTTGGGTGCTGACAGGGGAGCGTGACAGCAGCAAGCATGCCTCCCACCTTCATCTCCCGGCCCCCTCCCTCATTCAAAGCAGGAGTGTGGGAGCGGCAGGGAGAAGAAGCGGTTTTGTTGCTGGCTGGCCTGCTGTCAGATAGAAGTCCACTCCCAGGAGAGTCTTCATTTACGCAGGCCATCGTCCAAGCTGAGGGCCTGCCTCGGGGACCTTTAAGAACGGCCACAGCGAAGCTCATGAACATAAATAACCAAGGAAAAGACAGGGCCTTCCCCAGAGTGCTGGAGCGAGGCATTAGCTGCTGTGGGTCGCTGGGGCCGCCCCGCGGGTGCTTACAGACCGCTGTCTTGCTAATGGGGACCTCACAGAGTCTCCCTGAAGCTTCCTTCCAAAGGGGGAAAGAAAATCACACAATTAGAATGTGTGCATTGGGGCCCCAGGCTCTGGAGCTGATGGAAGGATTAAGGAGTGGCCACGCCAGGCAGTTTTTGGAAACAGCCGTTGTCTCTGTAATCAGGTGCAATTAGCTGGTGGCACTTGTCAACTGATGCTCAGGGGTGTGCGTGTGGGGGTGTGTGTGGCTGATTGGAACCCTCAGCTTAAGAAAAAGCCTCCCCCCAACCCCGATTTATTTTCCCATCTCAGCTGTTGGCGGAAATTGCTGGGCTCTTCAAAAAGGTTTAATCAGGGCCCAGTGTGACTTACCTGGGGCTCTGGAGATAAGCACCAGGCCACCTGCACCGAGTCCGGGAAGTGTGCTCAAGTGACCCAGGTCTGGTAGAATGTTTGTACTCCAGAGCAGTGGTTTTTTCCTTTACCAATCACACAGTGGTTTGACCCCAAAAGGCAGGCTTGCCATCAGCTAGGGCAAAAAAAAAAAAAAAAAAAAAAAAAAAAGAAAAGAAAAAAATGTAAAGCTTATTTTTATTTGAAAGGCAGATTTTACAGAAAGAGAAGGAAAGACACTGAAAGATCTTCTATCCACTGGTTCTGTTGTGGTCTTAGGCAGTGAGTTCAAGGCCAAGAGCTTGAAAGCTGGACTACCCCCCACCTACCTGGTCCTTTCTGCTCACCTGTGACACTCACCCGGAACCTGAGAGAGGGCGGCATTGCACTGTTGTGTAGCCACTCCCCCGGCAAGCTCATGCTAGGGAGCCGCTCACTCTCTGTTGGTCACGTGCTTCAATCATTCTTGGCCTTCCAGGTACCGGCTTGCTCTCTGGCTTCCGGTGGACAGACTCCCAGGACAGGCAGCGCCTGAGCATGGTCCCTGTATGTCTGTATTCCTCACCCTCTGCCCACTGCTTGGGCAAGTCAGTGAAGATGCAAACGCTAAGATGCTTTGTATTTTTACTCTGTGTACTTTCAAGAGTCCCAGGAGAGGTGAGGTCTAGCAGTAATAAAATATGAACAAAGAAGCCAGGGAAAGGTGAATGTCTGCAGCTTTGTGTCCAAGGTGCTCACTGCCCATCCCTAAGGATAGTTTATATTGCTGGGGAGGCTGGGACATAGGTCTTCAATTTAACGGATGGACTTCAGGGTAATGACCATTGGTTCCTCTTATGATTTCAATACAGACTGGATTGCCACGTGGACTTGTCATTTGCTCATTTCTACTGGACCCTGCCATCACCAAACTACGTTAGTAAAGACTCCTTAATACATCCTGGACGTATCTGGCCTGAGCTCTCTAGCACCCTGCACCAATTCACTCCCTAAATAGCCACAAATGGCCGGGACTGAGCTGATCCAAAAGCCAGAAGCCAGGAGCTTCTTTGCAATCTCCCATGCGGGTGCAGGGGCCCAAGGACTTGAACCATTCTCCTCTGCTTTCTCAAACAGTGATCAGGACACTGGATCAGAAGTGGGACAGCCAGGATTCCAAGCAGCACCTATATGGGATACAGATAGAGGTTTTGCCTACTGCCCCATGGAACCAGCCCCATGGATATTTTCTTACATAGGAGATCTAAGAGTACGAAAAAATTGGCATGGAATTCAAAATATTGTTGCACCAGGATAAGTTACCTTTGAGTTTCATTTTTCCATATTAATTTTGAACAGATATTTCAATATGTATCAAATATATTAGATTCTTGGTTTCTATTACAAGTATTTTTCTTGCTATGAAACAGTTCATAGGGACCTGCATAGTGGCATAGCAAGTAAAGCTTCCACTTGCAGGGCTGAAATCCCAGATACGTGCTGGTTCCCATCCCAGCTGCTCCACTTTCAACCTGGAAGAAGTTCCTGGCTCCCAGCTTCACCTTGGCAATAGCAGCCTCTGGGGAGTGAACCAGCAGATGAAAGATATCTCTCTGTGTCTCTCCCTCTCTGTGTAACTTTAACTTTCAAACAAATAAATATTTGAAATAACAATGAAGTTCAGTAGAAGCCAGCATTTGGCACAAAGATTCGGACACCACTTAGGGTGTCCGTATGCCTTAGCAGGGTGTCTGGTTCAAGTCCCATTTGCTCCACTTGCGATCCACAGCTCCTGCTAACGCCCACTCCGGGAAGCAGCAAGCAGTGGCCCACATTGCTGGTGGGCCCTGCCAGCCACAGGAGAAACTAGGATGGAGGCTTGTGGCTTTGGCCTGACCCAGCCCTGACTGTGGCAGACATTAAGGGAGTGAAGCAGCAGATGAAATAGGTGTCTGTCTCTTTGCCTTTCAAATAGCAGGAAAATAAATATAATTGTAAAAAAAAAAAAAAGTTGACAATCTTGGGCCCAGAGTGATGCTAAATCCTTGCCTTGCATGCGCCAGGATCCCATGTGGATGCTGCTTTGTGTCCCAGCTGCTCCACTTCCCATCCAGCTCCCTGCTTGTGGCCTGGGAAAGCAGTCGAGGACGGCCCAAAGCCTTGGGACCTTGCACCCGTGTGGGAGATCCACAAGAAGCTCCTGGTTCCTGGCTTCAGATCAGCACAGCTCCAGCCGTTGTAGCCACTTTGGGGAGTAAACCAGCAGACAGAAGATCTTTCTCCTGTATCTTTTCTCCATCAATCTGATCTGCCTTTCCAGTAAAAATAAATGTTTTTTTTTTTAAAGATTCACAACCTTAGACATTTTCCAGTTAAAATGTTATCTTGCACATACAATGCTGTTTCTCCTTAGAAACTGTTCTTTGCAGCAAACTGAGGGCTGCACGCTTCCACCCGCGAGGTCGTAAGTCACCCAGTCCCCTCCGGAAACCCTTACCACTGAACACCATCTCCTGAGAGATAACCCCTTCTGGAGAGCCCAGCTGCAGTCTGTGCCCCACAGCTCACCTAACCCCTGCCCCATATTTTGCAGTCGTTTTGAAGAAAGATGGACACCAGCTTATCCTGGAGAAGATGGACGACTGGAACCTGGTGGAGCTGGTGGTGAACGGGGAAGTGGTGTTCCATTGCAACATCGAAGACCTGGAGTTCGGTAAGCCCGGTGGGCACCGGCCTCTGGCAAGCTCCCCACCCCAAGGTCTCACAGTGGGCCTGAGGGGAGGAATCTGGATTTTAGATCGGGTTGCTTCTCAAATTATAGATTGGCATCCCGAAGCCCCATGCTCACTCAGGGGTGCAGAAGAAAGGGATGCCCAAAACCACAAGCAGAAAACTGCCTGCTGCTCCGGCATCCTCCAGAAGCGGGGAGGGGGAAGGGAAGCGAGGCCAGGGAAGCCTTGGACTTGAAAGCATGGGGATGGAATGAAACAGGAAAGTTTGTTGCTGAAGAACGTGTGCTTCCAACTGTTTGCTCTCCTAAGTTGTGCTTTGTTCCCTTCACTGATCATCTCCACCTGCAAAGATAATTAGTGTCTACAAGCCTGCTGTGCGTGGCATTCTCAGCTTGGCCCAGGAGAGCCCCTGGCTCAGCAGGCTGGCAGCTGGCGGCCTCACTGGTGCTCTGAAGAAATGCTTCGGCAACCCATCAAGACTCATTTGTGTGTGTGTGTGTGTGTGTGTGTGTGTGTGTGTGTGTGTGTGTGTGTGTGTGTGTGTGTGTGTGTGTGTGTGTTTGCATGTTGGTAGCCTCTGAAAACATGCCTCTGTATGTCCCTGAGACATCATCCAACTGAAGAGCTGGCTCAAGACAACTCTGTTTCCCCAGGAGGTGACGGGAAACTGGACACCCTGTGCGAAGAGGCGAGGATAGCGGTGCTGAATGCCTACTGATCTCATGGACTTGGGGCCTGCCGGCAGCAGTGGCCCTGGTGGGGCACGGGCTCCGGACCGTGCTGGCTAGCAGAAGGCAGCATCAGTCCGCCCTCAGCATGTGCTGCATTGGGTGTGCCCGGGAACCTGCACACATAATAAAACTGCATCCTGTGCAGCATCTCCCCATCGTGACCCACAGGGAGAGCCGCCAATATCAGGTGCACGTTGAGCTGTAGGAAATAATAAATGCAATCTAATAACAAGGCACTCTCCCTTCCTAATAACACATCGTTGCCAGAAGCAGGTATGATTCCTTGCTGTAGTCGGCAGAGAGCCAGGAACGGGTACAAATTAAAGAGGGGATGGAGTGGGGGTGGGAGGAGTGGATGGGGTGGGAATTGAGGCCTTAAACAGTCTGAACCAAGCATTGATGTTGGAATTTGGAATTCTAGCCGTTCCTACAGATTCTGTATTGCTCCTGATGCAAGAAGACTATAAAGGTGCTAGTGAAGGTAGCTCAGGGGTGGGCATTTGGCATGGAGGGGAAGGCACTGCTGGAGACACCCACATCTCCTATCGGGGGCCGGGCCTCGAGTGCCAGCCCTGCTCCTGAACCCAGCTTCCTGCTGCGGTGCACCCCAGGAGGTCGTGCTGGTGACTTGGGGCACTCAGGCCCTATACCCTGGGCTGACTTCCTTGCTCCTGGTCTCAGACTCCCTGTCAACTACTGTGCTTCTGATTCAGTTGCCTGCTGGTGCACGCTGGGAGGAAGCAGGTCATGGTTCCCTACCTGGGTTCCTGTTGTCCTTAAGGGAGATGGGCATGAATGGGGGGGAGCTCCTGGCTTCAAGCTGGCCCATGCTTAGCTATTGGGGGCACTTGGGAAAAATTATCTGTCTTTCAAGAAGAGGAAAACAAATAAACATCCACACAGCCAGATTGTCTGCCTTCTGCTGTGTGTGCCAGACCAATGTGATGTTTGCAGGAAGGCCTGGAAGAGTCCTGGACAGAAGCATGCGGTGGTGCTGGTGTCCCTTAGGAGGAGGCTGCAGGCCCCTAAAGAGGGGTTGAGCCTGGCCGGCGCCGTGGTATTACAGGGTAACCCACTATCCCATATGTGCACCAGTTCTAGTCTGGCTGCTCCACTTCCAATCCAGCTCCCTATTAATGGACTGGGAAAACAGTGCAAGAAGATGGCCCAAGTCCTTGAATCCTCTGTATCCATGCAGGAGATCTGGAAGAAGCTCCTGGTTTCAGATTGGCTCAACTCTGTTGAGGCCATTGAACAGTGAATGAGCAGGTAGAGGAAGATCTTGTCGTTTCTCTGTCTTTCCTTCTCTCTGTAAGTCTGCTTTTCACATAATTAAATAAATAAACACATGAAGGGCTGGGGCAGGCGCTGGGCAAGCCTGGCAATTAAGGTAGTTTACATGCATAAGCCACCATGCCATGTTGGAGAGCCTCATGTGCAGTGCCCACCAGCTCTGCCTCCCAGTTTCCCCATCGGCGTAGACTCCAGCAGGCAGCGACGATGGCACCCGTCATTGGGCTTCTTCCCACTCCCACAGGACTGAGTTGCCAGCTCCTAGATTCAGCTCGGCACAGCCACAGCTATAGGCGTTTAGAGTGTAAGCCAGCAGAAAGGAGCTCCCTGGCTCTGGGTGGAGGAAGGGGAAAGAGGAACCGAACTTGCAGAGCTTTCAGAGACCCCCTTCCCTCGCTTGCAGCTTCACCCCAGCCAGGGAGCCATCCCTCCCAAGGCCCCAGAGAGCCTCCGAGCCACTGGGCCTCCTGATTGCCAAAGGAGGGCTAACCAAGAGCACTTTTCTTGTCTGTGATGAGATCAGAGATACGGTTGGCTCGGTTGGCTCGGTTGGCTCGGGGGCGACCAAGCGCTTGCAGCTCCCTGTAACTAGTTGACTGGTTCTCCACTGAGTTAGAACACTCCGGAACAGTCTCCCCCTGCTGCCAGGTTACCTGCAGCTTCAGCATTCTTGATTGTTTCCCTTCTTGTCAAAGACCCACTGGGATTAGTGCCATGGCATACCAAGTTAAGCCTCTGCCTGTGGCGCTAGCATCCCATTGGACACTAGTTCCTGTATCAGTTGCTCTCCTTCAATCCAGCTCCCTGGCCAGGGAGAGCAGCAGGGGATGACCCAAGTGCTTGGGCCCTGGAAACCCAGAAGAAGCTCCTGGCTGCAGACAGGCCCAGCTCTACCCATTATGATCATTTGGGGAGTGAACCAGCTGATGGAAGATATCTTTCTCTGGCCCTCTTTTCTCTGTAACTCTGCGTTTAAGTAATTTTATTTGTTTGTTTGTTTGCTTGCTTGCTCGCTTGCTTTTTAAATAAATTTATTTTGGGATTCAGTGTGATGGCTAATGACTAAATCCTTACCTTGTAAGTGCCAGGATTCCATATGGGCACTGGATCATGTCCTGGCTGCTCCACTTCCCATCCAGTTCCCTGCTTGTGACCTGGGAAAGCAGTAGAGAACTGCCTAAAGCCTTGGAACCCTGTACTCATTTGGGAGACCCAGAAGAAGCTCTTGGCTCCTGGCTTTGGATTGGCTCAGCTTCAGCCATTGCAGCCATTCGGGGAGTGAACCAATGGGCAGAAGATCCTTCTAACTCTGCCTTTTCAATAAAGTAAGTAAAATAGATTAGCTTTACAAAGAGAAGGAGAGACAGAAAGAAAGCTCTTTTATCTGCTGGTTCACTCCCCAGATGGCTGCAATGGCTGAAGCTGAGCTGATCCAAAGCCAGGAGCCTCTTCTGGGTCTCCCTCATGGGTGCAGGGGCCCAAGAACTAGAGCCATCCTCTACTGCTTTGCCAGGCCACACACAGCTGGTTCGAAAGTGGAGTAGCCGGGACATGAACCAGTGCCCATATGGGATGGCTAGGGCTATGGGTGGACGATTAGCCCACCCCAGAGGTAAATAAACCCTTAAAAAAAAATAAAAAACAGCTTAAGTTAACTGAAGATGTGGCATTTTGCATTTGTTTCCATATCTTTTATATTTAAATATAGCATATTATAAAGATATATAATATAAAATTTTATAAAATACATATTTCCCATACATATATTCACCTACAGGGGAAATGCATTTTTGAAAGAGTGGAACAATTGAAATAATGACAAAGTATAGTGTAAATAGCACTCAATAAAATTTCCATCTGGCGAGCCTTTTATTTCTGAGTATTCATAAAGACACATACACAGAAATTGACATCTCCCACGTGAGACCCCCTCATCTGGACAAAGACCCCCCTTATCTGGACGCAACTTGGCATCGTCCTTCCACGGTTTATGTTGCGCCTGTGAGCCAACCCTTGCTGGCCGGGTGCCGTTTCTTGAATCTGGAGGTGTCCCCTCCTTCAGTACTGATACCTGCTTGCACAGTCAAACTCTTGTCTTCTGGGACTAAGAATTGCAAGCTTTCCCCTCTCCCCCAGCCCTGTGGCCTTGGGCTGGCAGACCTGGTACCAGGTACTCCACCTGAGCATCCCTCTGCTCACCTCCTCCCTGCCTCCAGGGCATTTCTGGTGGATTCAGAGCAGTTGCCCCACCACCCAGCAGCTGCCTACCCTCTCCCGGGCCAGGGTGGAGGACAGAAAACAAGATGGCACCTGGTTCGAAGTCCAGCGGGAGTGAGAAGGGCTCCTGGGAGGTGAAGTCTGTGCCTATTTTCTGCAGAGGTGGGTCACAGTTGCAGCCAGTGTTACTGGGACAATGCCCAGACCAGGATTACCACTGGATGGGAAGACGGAAGAGCTGAGCGGATGGGGTTGCAGGAGGGAGCCTCCGGGCTAGTTATTTCTCTCATACTGTACATGTTTTCAGTCATAGGATTGAGCTTTGGTTTATCTGAGTAAAGAGTATAAAGGGTAGTTTAAAAAAAAAAAAAACAGGGAAAGTAAAAGCAGGTGTGGCCTGCTGCGGCCACCTGTGACCTCACACCCTATATCAGCACTGGTCCAGGTCCCTGCTGCTCTACTTTGAATCCAGCTCCCCGCTAATGCTCCTGGGAAGGCAGCAGAAGGCGGCCCCGAGGACTGGAGGCCTCTGCCACCGTATGGGAGACCTGGATGGAGCTCTAGGCTCCTGGCTTTGGCTCAGTCTCTGTATCGTTCTGCCTTTCCAAATTAATTTAAAAATAATTGTTAGGCTGGAAATGTGTTTAAGTAGAACTATTAGAAATTAAAATCAAGGTTTTGGCATAGAGTCGTGTCTGTGTGACTGTCCCCTGCCATTGATTAAGTGCTCTCAGCGTCGCCTCCCTCCGACTTCATCTTGGGCAGCAGAGAACTCCCCGCGGTGACCTGCGGGCCAAAGTGCTTTTTAGTGCTTTTAAAGCAAGGCTAATTAAGTCATGGTAATTAAAAGTTTTATAAGATGCCAAAGCGACGTCATTGTTGCTGGAATATGTAAAGATGGCATCTTTTAGAAAAAAAAAAAACCACAAGTGTGGCTCTGTCGGTTTTGAAAATTCAATTCAGAATCTCCACCTTGCTCGTGTCATTTTCAGGTTTTGGGTGAAGAGACTTTCAGGGGCTTCCTGCGGTGCTGATTGGGGTCTCAATACATGTGCTCCCCTAGTGGGTTTGTCCATGAGAACCATGATGAAGGCTCCTGGGGACCAACACGGTCACGTTAGGAGAGAACTGCATCCGAAGTTGGTTCCCAGGTCAGGGGAAGCAACCAGAGCCCTATAAAAACTGGATGAGATGTATGGGAGGGGTCCTTGTCAAGACTGCTGCGGGGTCCGGCATGGTAGCCTAGCGGCTAAAGTCCTCACCTTGCTTGCGCCGGGATCCCATATGGGCACCGGTTCTAATCCTGGCAGCTCCACTTCCCATCCAGCTCCCTGCTTGGGGCCTGGGAAAGGGCTTTTTCACCTGCATGGGAGAGCTGGAGGAAGTTCCCAGCTCCTAGCTTAGGATCAGCACAGCAACGGCCGTTGTGGTCACTTGGGGAGTGAACTATCGGACGGAAGATCTTCCTCTCTGTCTC